CTATCTTTTTTAATCCAGACAAAAGAGAAATAGAACGGGAAAAAATGAAACAGGAGAGAAAGAAATGAAAACAAAAACAGAGCTAAAGCAATGAAAATAAACAAAAAACTGAAAAAGAAAGATAAGAAGGAATGGACAGAGCAAAAAACAGAAGAGAAAAAGAAAAAGCAGAAAAGAAAGAAATAAAAACAATAACAAAACATGGATAAATCAGAACCATAATAGAAGAAAATATACGAGGTGAGAGATTTAAAAGAAACATAAATAAATGGATAAAGAAGAAATAGAACAGAAATAGATGGAACAGATAAGAGAAAGATAAAACCGGACAAAACAGAGAAGAAAAATATTTGATCGAGATGGAACAGGAAAGAGGTGGAATAGGAAAGAGATGGATCAGGAAAGAGATGGATCAGGAAAGAGGTGGAACAGGAAAGAGATGGAACAGGAAAGAGATGGAACAGGAAAGAGATGAAACAGGAAAGTGATGGAACAGGAAAGAGATGGATCAGTAAAGAGATGGAACAGGAAAGAGATGGAACAGGAAAGAGGTGGAACAGTCAAGAGGTGGAACAGTCAAGAGATGGAACAGGAAAGAGATGGAACAGGAAAGTGATGGGACAGGAAAGAGATGGATCAGTAAAGAAAGAAGATTAAACGCACCAGGAATGTGCAAAGCAGAAACAGGACAGAAAAAAGGTTAAAATTGATAAAAAGGAGATGAAACCTAAATAAATAAAACGAGTTAAGATTGGAATAAAAAACCCTGAATAGATTGTCGAGAGGTTGCGTGATTATTAAAAATGATTAAAAATGAACCTTATCTGTTCCCATCTACCTTGATACGTTTGTCTGTTTGGTCCATAAAATTAAAGTTCCTGCATCCTTTTAGTGTTCCCACCTACCAGGTTTATCTGTATGTTCCAGGACATAAACGTTCCTGCATCCTATTCGTGTTCTCAACTCCTAAGTTATCTGAATTTTCCAGGACGTTCCTGCATCCTATCAATGTTCCCACCTACCTTAATAAGTTTGACTGTGTGTTCCATAACATAAACGTTCCTGCATCCTATCATTGTTCCAACCTACCTTAAGAAGTTTATCTGTATGTTCCATAACATAAACGTTCCTGCATCCTATCATTGTTCCAACCTACCTTGAGAAGTTTATCTGTATGTTCCATAACATAAACGTTCCTGCATCCTATCATTGGTCCAACCTACCTTGAGAAGTTTATCTGTGTGTTCCATAACATAAACGTTCCGACATCTGATTTCACCGTGAACTAATCCCTATAAATAATAATTCTTGTAATATATGTGATCTTTTTATTTGATACTGTAAAAAAGATCCATTCATACACTGATTACTGATAAAGTGTCAAATCAAGGGCGTATACAAGTATTTAAACGCATGAACTTACTTATTTACTTGAAGATTGATGCACAATTAACACATCTGTCTGGATCTGTGTGTTTAGCAAAGCTAAGGCCCCAAAAAGCTAAGGCGTAGTTTTTGGCCAATACTGCGAAATAAAAAATAAATCTAAATTGTTCTTTGTAACATAAATAAAGTTTTCTAAAAAAAAACGTTTAGATTTGTGTCAAGCTCAAGAAATATCTATTTTATTTAAAAGTAGCCGAAGTACTGGGCGTTGCCCGTTTTAATTTTATTTTATTTGTCGTCTCCTGACACACAAACAAACGTTTATTCTGAAGGGGACACCATTTACCAAACGGGGGAAAATGTACCATTTTTGATTGAAGTTTTTTGTTTCAATATCTCGCTAGATAACAAAAAATGTTAACAATCTTCTTATTTTCAACTGTACTTCTGGTTTTTAAATTACTCTCTTTTACTCATCGCGATAATTACGAAGAACAAAGGGTTATTAACGATGGTTTATTATTGAATGAATACTGTGGAGAATTATAAATGTTTAAAAGCACTCTAAAACTGTAAAGATGAAACTTCTTGCATTGAAATCCAATTCTCAATATTCAGAGTTTACTAAATAATACAAATTCTCTAAACAAAATTGTACGCTTGACGACCTCCATAAACATTCTAAAGAAATTTTATAGTTCCTAAATCTTTGCAACATATGGTGTAAACCTTTGATATTTACAAATTGATAGTTTGAAATACAGGATATCACACAAAGGATGAGACTTAAGAGACGACATTTATAGTGCAATTAACCGAATTCAACCTTGTAATTGTTATATTTCATAGATTTAAGTTCATTATCGTCTCACTCTCATCCTTTATTTTAAAACATAAAATACCCACTATAGTGTCAGTAGAAGTAAATATTTCCATTTACTGTCATAACGCCGATATTAGGATTTATCTCTAATTGGATAATCAGTTAGATAGAAAGATAGATGATACCGCCATGCAATTTCTATTGGTTCAGAATAGACACCAAACACATATAAAATTGAATATCAATGTTGAATACTTATTAATGGCTTGTTTTTAAGCTTTCAAAAGATTGTTTATATGGTTATTTTGTCCTTTTTCAACATCCGAATGCAGTTTCCTTACCATAGAACTTATAATTCAATTTTGTGCATTTCTTAAACATATAAAATGCAATTATTCGGACTTCTCAAGCATTCTTTCCTTTCAGAAGGAAAATAAAGAAAGGAATTTGATCTTAGCCACTAACTCTGACTTTATAATCCCTATATCTTTGCAACACAATGTTGTAGAACTAAGATATTTTAAAATTTTGAGTTCTGTAATATCAAATTATCTGTTTTATTATGTTGTAAATATATAGGGATTAGAACATTTTGTTTGTTTGTGACAAGGACTCAATTCCTTTATCTGCTTTGGGCACCTTTTAAATCAACAGAAGCGTTGAACTTATTCATTCTTTTTTAACAAATCCAAGATCTAAGATGGGTATGAATTAGGTTAACAAGAATGCTATTTCTGATACATATTTATCTCAACTTTAACCAATAGTAAAAACATTTTGAACTTCCTCTCAATTCATAAATGCACATTGCACAACTTTGCTCATCTCAAACAAAAGGTGGAAGTTTACTTCATTAAAAGCATTCTTCTGTTTTATTAATTTAAAAATTCCCTCTGTAAAAATAAAAAAATTTATATTTCCATCAACAATTTCACAATTTTTGGTAAAAAAAACAACAAAATTCCTGACTTCCCTATTACCCGCCCCCCCCCCATGTTTTTTCTTTTCATAAGGGAATTGAGTCTTTGTCACAAACTCTGATTTTCTAATCCTTATATCTTTACAACCCAATGTCGTAGACCTTGAATATTTCAAACTTTAAATTATGTTAGAACAAATAATCAAAACTTGAAATTTCAAAAGTGTACACCAACAGATTGCAAATATATAAGAATTAGAACATTTCTTTTCAATTAAGATTAAGGTACTTTTTAATAATCAAAATAAAATAAAACAAAATAAAATAAAATCTAATAAAATAAATATTTAGGTAAATTTTATTTTTTTTAAACCAAACTAATTATGCGCCCAATAGGTCCAAAAAATCCTCGTCAAGTTAACTAAAGATAAATATTTTTTCAATTGTTAGTAATATATCATTTTTAAAAAATTCCTCTTACCTTCACTCCTTTAACTAATACAAAACCACAATTATATAGCGCGAGGCAGGGGTGTCGACTTCGAACAACACTGTGTCTTTTTTCGTCAATTTTATTTATTAATTTTCGAGTTCAGCTCAGTGCTATCAACTTCGATTTGTAACATATCAATTCACGTTTGTAACATATCTATTCACGTTTGTAACATATCAATTCACGTTTGTAACATATCAATTCACGTTTGTAACATATCAATTCACGTTAGTAACATATCAATTCACGTCAAACTAAAGTAAATTGCACAAAAGACTGAAATATTGCAAGTTATCAATAAGAATTTCTTTTATTGAAGAGCAGTTGAGAAGAACAAAAATGCCACGAATTTTTAACATGAAACCAGACAAATTTTCTACTTTCATACTTGAGCATAAAATCAAAACTAAAGGAGCTACGAGGTCTTAGGGCCGTACCAATTATGTCGCATAGATTTTATCTAGTTCAGTTGGAATCATTACCTTTCCCTGTAAATAGTAGAGTGCTCTAGCTAGACTAGTCCCTGCTTCTAGCATATCAACATTCTGGATTTTAGACTTATTCTCTCTTAGATACGCATCCAGGGGGCCATACTCAAAATATTCTCTAAAAAGGTGAAATAATTTTTACATATGTACTTTGCTTGTCTGTCTGGGTGTATTTTAGTTTGTTTGTCTGTTTGTAACCAATAAACGTCAAAACGACTGAACCGATCGGGCTTAAATTGTGTGTGGGATTTATGTGATATTTAAAAATGCGCGAATTTTTTTTTTGAAAATTCGCGAACTTTTTTTCTATTATTTTATGACAATTCTAAAGTTTAAAATTTTTATAGTATTACCGGGCGAAGAATTGTGTTCAGATTTCGATAACTTTAGTTTTTTTTTGATAAAATTGAAATCTGAACTAAATTCTAAATATCTCCGGTAATATTGTCAACAGACCACATTTTGGAAATGCCAGAACTAGAAGAATGTTGTGGTCGGTGTTTCAAAAATTTTACATGTGAAGGTAGGTTGAGAACAAACGTCACAAATAAATCAAAAGACTTTCAAGTCGTCTTGCTATTTTCATGTTTCGTGGAACACCCTGTACTGTACAAAGATAGAGCCCTAATTGAAAGTTAAAATAGAAGATGGGCGTGAAGCGCCCTAAAATCCTAGTTTTTAATTAAGTACTTTTTTCTTTAGTCTTTAGTCTTATCTTTTCCGTTGCAAAATCAAATCCTAAGAATCTAATAAAATTTTGCCTCTTGGATGAACTTAAAAAATTTAAGAAATTAATATATGAATTTTCTCTTGAATAAGGAAAATGTTCCTGTTGAGAGGAGTAAATTAAAAAACCAAATAAATTGCAAGCTCTGTAATTACCGCTATAATTCATTAACTATATATGACTAGAGGAAAAATATAGAGTTATAAACATTATTTTCATTTGAACCACAAAATAAGGAAAATCTTTTGCTTCAAAAATTAGATACTTTTTGACGGCAAAGAACCCCAACAAAAATTTTTCCTTACATGGTCTTAAAGAGCCGCCCGTGATTATGAGAGGAGGCAAATTGGAAATTCAAATAAAACAAAAAATTGCAAGCGTTTCTATAACTACAGGAAACCTGTTCAAATTAGAATTTACGTTTTAAACAGCAAAAATAAGGGAAATCGCAAGTGGTATTTCATTTTAAATAAAATGATTTTCTTTTAATTACTAAAACCATAAATGAGGAAAAGTCATTCGGTTTTGAACAGTAACATCCCCCCCCTCCCCATGAAGGAGGCTAAATACAAAATATCAAAAGCCATTTAATTTTTAACTTTACAACAAGCCAAATTTTTACACACCGCTTAAAATTACACATATTGAAAACTAAATATGACATCCCTAAGACGTCATTTTATGTGAATTGCAAGCTTGGGCTTTGGAGCGCTCTTACAGCTCTTAATTCACAAAGAGGCCTCCAATAATGTAAATATAAGAGGACAGAAACTTCTATCCTCTTAACTTTTAAAATCTCATTTTCCCCTTACCCCTGTCCTTTGATGCATTCAACCAAAGCTATTTAACAAGTTTGAGTTTCATTGATAAAAATGTTAATATGAACATTAAATATTGTTTAATTTTCATAATATTAGCAAGAGACCTTACATTTATTTACAGTAAATATAAACACAAAACAAAAATCAAAGAAAAACACGTTAAAAATACTGCAAGGTGAAAAGAATCTCCCAGTGATATAAATTGAGAGACCCGAACTCAGAGGTTTAAATTAACTTCAGTGCAAGAAGTGGACAAATTGTCATCTTCTTAAATTAAAAAAAGATGACAATGTCCGATTTACAACAGTACCCTTAAAAGCTTTGTCTGATCAAGTAAGAACTAGATATCAATGTTTTTGTTTCTTTAAACTGTTTATTTTCATTTGCAGTTTTTTGCGAAATGACACCTTTCGAGTAAAAAAACCGATTGTATCTTCCAAATCTTAAATCAGAGATAAGGTTTTAAGGGTACCGTTGTAAATCGTGCATTTCCATCTTTGCATGGAGGGTAACTTAGGATTGCACTTACAGTCCCTTTAAACATCTTTAAAAATGTATCCTACAAATTTCAAAATTCTCAGCAAAATTTATAATGAAAAAAGCAACCAAGACAATATTATTCCGCAGTTTTCTGGTTACCACTGTACTCTTAGATAAAAATAATGTATTTTTGGATCGAGAATTCTAAATTCTTGTCAAATATTTTAAGTCAATTTTTCCTTTTTCCTTTAATAATCTTGGTGTTTCCAAAATTCTGGTCAACATAAATTGCAATCTATCTTTTTTAATCCATGCACTGCATTGCACTGCCTAAATCTTTATTTAAATCAATCTTTTAAGGAATTGACTTTTTGCCACAAACTCGCATTTTCTAACTTCTACATCTTTGCAACCTGATGATGTAAACCTTTGATATTTGAATTTCAAACTTAAACTATTTGATCTAACAGAATTAATAGTTTGAAATATCAAAAGTCTAGGAAAACGGGTTGCAAAGTTATAGGATTTAGAAAATCAGAGTTTGTGGCAAGAACTCAATTCCTTTGTGCTCATAAAATCTTGAGGTTTTCAAATTCAATATATCGTTTTATCCCTGTAATTGTACATTTATGGAAGGGAATGTTTTATTCACAACGGAACCAGTGTTTGGTCATGAATGAATGAGATATCCAAGTTTATATGACTGAAAATAGATTTTTTTTCAAATCTGGTTCCAATGCATGAGCAACTTTCGGATTTCTGCAGCAGAAACAAAAATAAAAGTTTTCTGAGTTTAAAACTTTTAGAAATAGAAATACGACGATATCTTCCTCATGGTTACTCAGATAAAGATTTAAAGGGTTCTATTATGAATCTGACAATGCCCTCTAGAAATAAATGGAAAGTCACTTGAACAATTAAACTACGTGACAGTCCCTTTAAGACTCTGCATCCTTTACCTGACAATAACGAGTGGTTCGTTCTCCATTGGTAAACAAGCTCCATATACAGTTACTAGGCTTGGATCATCCCATCTCATCACTCTGTAACAATAAATCAATCTATCAATCAATTCAAATTCAATTAATCAACTAACTCTATATACATTATACAGTTACTAGACTAGGATCATCCCATCTCATTACTCTGTAACATTGTAGCAATCATTTAATCAATTTATAAACTAGCTTCATATACAGTTACTAGACTAGTATCATGTAGTAAAATCTTGACGAAATGTAATCAAAACCATGATGTTCTTTTGGAGATAAAAAATATTTACGACAAATTGAGAAATATAATATTGATACTATTTAATTCTTCTTCTATATATATATTATATACTTTGCTTGTCTGTCTGTTTGTTTGTCATTTTGAGAATGATTAAAAAAGGCCACTTTCAGATCAACACTTTAAAGCTAAAATTGGGGAATAGTGGTTCGCAGAGCGCCCTAAAATTCAAGTATAATAAGATTTAACAAGAAATGCAGAAACTTATTTATTCAATGTGCAGGAGAATAAATTATCTTTTTTCCATATTAAAAAATAAAATGTGGAAACCCAAGATTCTAGCAACAATTCAGGAAACCTTGCATAGTATTGAAAACGATAAGGTTTTTAATCAAACAAATCTTCTTTCTAGTTTGTTTTAGTTCAGAAAATAATTCTTTGATAACATAACTTTTGCTCTGGCTACGAGACAGGATCCTAAAATCCTGATCTTTAAATTTGTGTGCATTTCAAACACCCAGTCACTTAATGAAGAGTCACTTGGAATTAGGTTTACAATCCGTTTATGTAACAACATTCCTTCAAGTAATTAAATATAAATAGAAAAATAAAGCGGTGAACATAATACTCAAGTTAAGTGAGTTTTGTTATGCAAAGGTCCAAACAGCATGCTTAACAAAGCACTGCTGATAGTTTTCATTATCTCGATATGGGATCCTTCATGAACATAACAAAATTTAATCTGCAAACCCAGAATGGACAGCCATCCAAAGTATGTAGTACAGTTGTAGGCGATTATATCAATATAATAAAGACGACTTTCGACATCAATTTTGATTTATATTAAGCTTTAAAACAGCATTGGATACACAATACACATAAACATAGAAGTTAAGAGAAGCTGTCAGTAAAAGGGTCTTTTCGATAACTTTGAACTTGTCATTGGAAAAAAAGCTGGTTAACAATCTGTTACGCGAGCCATGCTGCGTGTATGAAGTCTATGTGGTGCCCCTGTGAATTTCTGAGTTCTCCCTGAGGATCTGTACAGAACGTATTGTGAAAAAACTAGTTTAGGAGCTGTTTACAGACTGACTACGCAGGCGCAAGATTTCTCGCGTGAGAGTGAACAGTTTTGTATTAGTATATGTTTATTTGTCTTTACGAGTGTAACCGTGCTTATATTCTAGGATCACTGCGGTAATAATTTTTTATATATATATATATGCTATCGTTTGATTATATTATGATTGATATATTGTAAATATGTTTGTTGGTTCCTTGCCACAGTTTTTTAATGCCTGAGTGGATTATTTTTGTATTCGTATGATTTATCACTCAAAGCTTTTTCTGTGGGCTTATTAAACTTATTTAGATTGAAGCATTCGAGAAATAAACGTTCGGAACCATATTATTATCCTTTGTTATGGAGAGCGTTGAGAGGAGGAAGGCTTACAATCCAATCTCGAGAAATACCGCACGGTATATACATTAGGTCTTTAGGGAAATCGCTAAGTAGCGAAACACAATCAAACCTTATATAAAAAGCCGTCTCCACTGTATTGATATAATCGCCTACCACTGTAGTTAAATATTTAGAATCAAGGATGTAAAGCAAGGAAAGTTATTTCAGAAGTGTACACATCTTTTGTACTGCAGTGTACTGTCTCTGGGCGGTAATATAAACACAAGACGGATGTCAAAGCCTGACATGAGATCCATCTTTCACATAAAAAAAATCAATGAAATATTCTAGTCTTAGGAAACTTTTATGTGAACTATCAACATTATCAAAATTAAATGCTTTAACCTCCTCGGATACTAAACGAACACTGATGCATCTATTCTTGTTTACAAATTCCGCCCAAAGAGAACTGGTTTCAATGTGTACGCAGAGTATACACGACTGCAATTAACTTTCCTTGCATTACACCCTTGTTTAGATTGAAGTAGAAAAAATCGTCAACAATGTGATTAACATGTAAACATCTTTGGCTTGGGTTGTTTGAGTAAATAATGGCATATTTACCTCGTCGCTAGATTTAGAAACTCCGTCATTTTCTCTCCCATTAAATCCTTCTTTAACTGTTTTATTGCAACTACTCTTCGATCTTAATAGTACAATAATATATCAGTATATTTTTAATCCTTCTTTAACTGTTTTATTGCAACTACTCTTCGATCTTAATAGTACAATAATATATCAGTATATTTTTATCTTTGGGGCCTTTTTTAAACATTGCGGATATTTTTCCTGTGTTTTACCCCCCTTCATTTTTTATTGTTCAGTGTTCATTTATTGTTCATTCATTGTTTATTGTTCATTCCTTGTGCATTGTTCATTCATTGTTCATTGTTTATTCATTGTTCGTTCATTGTTCATTCATTGTTCATTAATTGTTCATTGTTCATTGTTCATCATTGTTCATTGTGCATTATTCTTTGTTGTTACCTGCAGTATTTTGCCTCCACTCTCCTTTCCACACTTTACACATTCGACCCTGGTGACAAATCCCTTCAAACCTACAGAACAGGATTTTATTATTTCATGAAATTTTATTCTAGCATTAAATATAATTGGATCATAACTTAGGAACCCCTGGACTGATTTGCCTCAAATTTTGATTGGGGAACTCGGGAGAACCACGGGAATGTTCTTAGCTTGGTTTTGAGATTCTACGTTGAGAGCGTCGAAAAACTTAGTTTCTCGGTAAAATCGTCCAAGAACGGGTAAACGGCGGGAGTAAACAATAAACCTGGGCAGCGCTGGGTTCCAAAGCTAGTTCTACATATTAAAGAAGTGTGAATTCTAGCAGGATTACTTTGATGTAGGGGTAAAACTGCCTTTCCCCCTTAGAAAATTTCTTAAGCAGCCTCATGAATGGTACCCAAAAAAACCTTGTACACTGTAATTGGTTTTACACAAATGGAGATGTGGTTTCTCATGAACATGTTCGATGATGATTGTTGACTAGAAATGGAAATGTAAAAAAATATGTTTTTCCTGAAAGTTTTTAATTATTATTTCCTTATTTACTCACTAATTTCCTAGTCTCACGACCAGGAATTATTAATTTTCAGATATAGGGTTTTCCGCAAAACATGAGACTTTATAGACTGAATTTATGAGTTTATTCAGTACCTTTTCTAACATTGATGGTTCCCAATTTGCTTTCATTACAAAATAATTTCGTACGCATACAAAGTTTTAACTTCCAGATCAAACACCAAGTTAAATTTTCAGTTTCAAGTACCCTTCAAGTAAAGATGGCTATGCCTGATTTACAACTATGTACCCTTGAAACCTTAATCTTATCAAAAATGTTGAAGATACCGTCGTTCTTCTGGCTTCAAATGTGTTGATCATTTCCATCGTTTCTAATAAGCAAGAAATGAGCAAGTCACTTTTGCAGAGAACCCGCAAATAATGAACAGTTTAAATAAACAAAAACATAGCTATCTAATTCATACTTGATCAGACAACGCTTTAAAGGGTACCATTGTGAATAGGGCATTGACATCATTGCATTGAAGGTCACTTGAAATTACGCTCACAGTCCCTTTAATATGAAAAGTTTCTGCTTACTTAGAAAGGTTGTTGTATGGTATAAAATATCTGTCGGATGTTGTGCTGGGTTTACTTCCTGTTTAACAAAACATATTCTTATTTTTAAAGAATAAAAATATCCATAAATGAAAAATCAATCGCTAAATATATAGGGGTGTATATTCTCAAAAATTCATTTCCCCACCCCCTTGGAAAACATCGATTCACTTAGAAGTTATTTATGTTTTTCTTAGTGTTGAACTCACTGAAATATGAAAAATTAACGCTTTAAAGTGAAAAAATGAAAATGCATGAATATTGTAGGAAAAGTATCAAAAATAAATTTAAAAACTTGCCTTTTNCCCCGGATGAAATTCTAAAAAATATACACCTTTAGTTATGGGTGTATTCAGTAGGAGAAAAAACAGTAAAGAAGTGCTTAGGATCCATTTAATTTTAATGCGGATCCGGATCCGGGATTTAGACTGCAAAAAAATGGATCCGAATCCAGGTTATTTCTTTAAAATTGACCCTAATTTTTTAACAAAGCAGAATTTTCAAATTTTTTGTCTTATTATTCTAGCTTATTTTTATGCTAAAACTTTTATAATCTCTCTTTTTTCAATAGTTCAGATTTGGGGTTTGAGAGTAAAATTTAATTTTGCAGTTTTTTTTTGATATTTTACCCCTTTGATCCGGATCTGTGGATCCGAACATGTTTAGTGATCCGGATCCAGGAAGCCAAATTCTTGCGGATACAACGGGTCCAGATCCAGTGAAGAAAAAATGATAAAATGAAGTCATGAAAAATAAATCTGAAAAGGCATGAATAATGTCTGAATTGAATAAACAATAAATAATTTAAAGAAAAGAGTAGAAAAATTGTCAAGTAGAGATCAAACATCAATGGCAAAGCATTACATTTATTTTAATGATGACTTAGAGGTAAGGGGATTTAAAGATAAAGTTTATGCAAGTAATAATGGCCAAGTGAATAAATTGTTCGCAAAATGTGAACTAATGCAAAATGTTTTCATTTTGCATTTTTTTAAAACAAATGGTTGAATATATGAATTCAAAACAAATATAAATGTATGAAAGTATATAAATGTAAAAATACACATTACACAATACATAAATATCTAATATAGATGAATAAATGAATATAGGTGAGGATTAATAAACGCATAAATAATTAATTGAAAATAAATCAACAAACGAATTTAAATGAAAGTAAAAAAATAGATGTATAAAGAAATTTTAATGAATAAAAATTAATAAACTCGTATAATGAATAAATATAATAGAATATCAATGAATATAAATGAATATAAATGAACATAAATGAATATAAATGAATATAAAAGAAAATAAATGAAAATAAATGAAAATAAATGAAAATAAATGAAAATAAATGAATATAAATGAATTTAAATGAATTTAAATAAATAAGAAAGAATACATATGAATATAAATAAATATCAATGAATATAAATGAATATAAATGAATATAAATGGATATAAATGAATATAAATGAATATAAATGAATATAAATTCATGTAAATAATTAAGAATGAATATAGAATATTGAATGTAGATGAATAAATATGTATGAATATAAATGATTATAAATCATTATAAAAGAATGCATGAATATGGTTTCCTAAAGAATCATGCTTCCATTGGACTGGATTTCTGCAGAGTAGAAGAGAAGGACATTTATCATATTCGCTCAAGTGTATACAGTCCAACAGCTAAATATAATCTAATTATTTATGTCAAAATTTAACAACGAAGCACTTTCAAAAAATCTCTAAATATCTGATTTGGGAGACATTTTGAGACTTAAAGCAACTAGAGGAATTACTTATTATGCGGCATGGAAGAACCGTGCACAAAACGTGATACTACAGGGTGTCCCAATAAACATTGGAATTTAGTGACGATTTCGATATAGTCTTTTTAAATAATTCTTTGATTTAGTTTAGTGATACCTACTGAGAAAGCCGTAATCTGTATGAGTTTCGTCTGCTATGTTCACATTTTGTTGGTTATGCATACGGGTGTACTTAGTAAAACAAGAAAATTACAGTGTACAAGCAGAGTAAACTTCTTCACTGTTCAATAATGTTCATCTTGCGGAGACATTATAGACACATCTTAACAGTCTTTTACCCTTTTCATAAAATAAACTCTAGCAGACAAAATAATATTATGGCTGCTGAAATTAGGTATTACAATGCTAATTCATAACAAAGACGATATCGAATTCGTCACTGAATTCCCATGTTTTTTGGGACACCCTGTATTAATTTTGCCACATCGTTTTTTTAACTATCAACCTGAAAAGGTAAAATGTTTTCATAGATCAATATTACTCTTTAAAAAACTGTACAAAAAAATGGAAACTATTTCTAACTGGTTTAACTGATTCTAAGAAGCCTGGTTTGACTTGGTCTAAGAACGAATACCTGGAAACAGGTTTGACCGGTTCTAATTGCTTGAACAACAAGAGATACTGAGGAAAATGGTTGATACACTTCCTCTGGCAATTGGAATCTCCCACCTCTATAAAAAAGGGGTATTCCTTGAAATTCTTTATTAAATGATAAATACATTTATTACAACTATTAGGATTACACAAATTTATTGGGATGGATATATATAATTTAGGTTTATTTGAACAAGGAAGCTGAATCGGTGCGAATCATTCAAAAAGTTTCATACCTGTCCAAGCTATAGAGTCCTGTATCCTTATCCCGTAGAATACACAGCTCCTCAGGTCTGCATCCAGTCTCGTAGCAGAACAGGAGAAATATCTAGGCAAGGGTTCCTAAGCTGTGGGCTAACGAGGTTTTATTTTTATTTTTTTTTTCTCTCAACCACTCTTTCTTTTATTAAAAACGATGATAACTTAACACTCTCCACTAAAACCCAATAATCATTCGGTCAGAGTATTGCAGATCACTGCAGTCACGGGCAGCCGTAGTACATTTGAATTTCCCAGCCGGGTCAACCTTTCCAGTCCCAGTTTGTACTGTACCTAACTCTACGTACAGGACTAGCCGGTGCAACAAGGTTGACGCAGTCAGGCTTTATGCTTCATATAGGTTGGATTTACTTTTACTAAAGGGGCAGAGGTGCGTGCAGTACGCACCGAAAGCTTAGTTTAGGATGTTAAAGGTCTTAATAAGAATATATCTTTATTTTACACTCAAGAGTTAACAAGAGTCATAGGACTAATTTCATTTTAGTTTTTACTATTCTATTGTTTGAATCAAAATATTTTTCAGTATATTTTACAAGATCCTGTTCCTGTACTACCATAACCACTGTAATAAACAAATCAAATCCGAACAAAGGTTTACTGCATGCACCCCTGACCCTTTAGTAAAAGTAAATTCCACCTTAAGTCGGACCGCGTCAACCTTGTTGAACCGGCTAGTCCTATTGAGTGTCTGCGTGCTTTATATACCCAATGTCCGGGCGATACAGTACGAACTGGGACTGGAAAAGTTGACCCGGCTCGGAAATTCAAATGTACTACGGCTGCCCGTGACTGATTTTCTTTTCTTATTTTTGATTTAACAACATTACTGATAATAAAAAGGCCCAACTGCTTTTTATTTAAGATGTTGTTTTCAACATGATTTTTATTTTTAAGGGGAAATAATTAATTGGAATTATAGGAATGATTTCAATCTTAGTAATGGTAGAGATTTATTTTATAAATATATTTCTCACTAGAATCCACGACTAAACTCTTCCATGGAAAGCATAATAGGCATTTATTTAAGTTGTAATATTTCATATTAGATCTTTATTTTTCTTTATTTTATATTCAAATACTTTTTTTATTATGTAGAAATATGTTTTTTATATGTTTTTCTACTCTAATAATTATTTGAATTATTTTCATTTATTTTGTTTCATATATTTTAATAGTGAAATATTCTTTTTCTCTGTACACTCTTTTTCTTCTGCTTTGTTTCATTAAGTTACAAATCATTTTTTTTTTTTTTTTGGGGCTTAAACTATTTTTTTATGAATTTGATATTTTTATTTTACCTTTTCATGTTTATCAGGACTCTGACGGAGAAGAAAAGAACCTTTCTTGAAATTTAGCTTCTGTAATTTGGAGATAGCAAATTCCTTAGTTATAGGACCATGGACCTAAATATATAGCAAACTCTTTAGTTATAGGACCATGGACCTAAATATATAATAAACTCTGTAGTTATAGAACCATGGACCTTAACATATAGCGAACTCTTTAGTTATAAGACCATGGACCTAAATATATAGCAAATTCTTTAGTTATAGGACCATGGACCTAAATATCTAGCAAACTCTTTAGTTATAGGACCATGGACCTAAATGCTAACTTTTGTATAGAATCATGGACCTAAATAAATAGCAAACTCTTTAGTTATAGGACCATAGACTTAAATTGCAAACTTTTAGTTTAGGATCATGGACCTAAATGCAAACTCTTAAGTCATAGGACCATGGAAGTAAAGATATAACAAACTATTTAGTTTTACAACCACAGACCAGGGGCGTACGAGAGCTTTAGTGTATGGGGTGCATCTTTTGCACCGACATTTTTTTGTTTGTACCTCCTAGAAGATTTGTGCCCACCCTAAAAAAACCTATTTTGACAAAAGTATGATTAGTTTTTTTTTTTTGGTTTAGAACAGATATTTGTTGATTATTTAACAGAGAAGCAAAGGAGATAATATTTTACCAAAAAATCCAAACTTATAATCTCTATATATCTCCAACCCGATGTCGTAGATCTTTGATATTTTAAACTATGAATTCTATGAACTATGAAAAAATCTTAGTTTGAAATAAGGTTCACTCCATCAGGTTTCAAAATTAGAAAGTTTGAGTTTGCATGGCAAAATCTTAGTGCCCCCCCCCCCGTATGGGGGCACGTGCACCCAGTGCCCCCCCTTGTACGCCCCGCCATGGACCTAAATATTTATAAAACTCTTTAGTTTTATAGGATCATGGACCATGCACCTTAAATATACGGCTAACTATTTAATAATGAAACCAAATAAATAGCAATCTCTTTAATTGTAGGACCAAGGACTTCAATATAAGAAAAACTTATTTTATCTTAATCCCATTAAAATGTTATAGGCAAAACTCTAAAATGTAAAATTTCACAAGAAAATCTAATCAAAAGTGTTTTGATACTGCCAACATTTTTATAAAGAAATGCATTTAAAAATTGCACATTTACAAGTTGAAAAATTATCTCCTGGGTTAGAAGTGGTTTACACATTTTTATCAAACCACAGGAAGTGAAAACAAAAACATTGAAAAAAATTTATTTATTTAAAAATATTTTTTAAAACTAATTTTAACGAAGGTTTTGCTAAATTACTAATTTTTTTTAAGTATTCTATTTTATTAATAAAAAACTTCTCATTGCTGGTCTCTCACTTACAAAAGGAATAAAAAACCTATTTATGAAAACTTTTTTATTTCCAAGAACTTATATTTTTCAATATAAATAAATGCTTTTTTACTGTGGTCTGGTTTTTTAAATGAAAAATATTTCTTAAAATTTCTTTTTGTAAAATATGGCATGGGAATTAATGTGTTAAATGTAAGCGGGGAGGGATTAAAAAGTTTACCTTATTAGCTATTAAATCCTCTAAAATTGGATACTTAAGCTCAGAACAGAGGGAGAAGGACCATTTTTCAACTAGCCTTGAATCAAGCTTATTTAAATATTTTTCTAGAATTAACAAAATATGAATTCAAAGAGCCCTTTCTATACTTTGGAAGTCGTTGATAAAATGTTTTTTATGAGAAAAATCCCCCCGCGGCCAGCCACCTTAAGTAATAGGACTACTTTCTTTTAATGATTCTATGAATTTACAGTTTCAGAGAAAATAAAAGAATGTTTCAGAAAATACTAATCCCTGGATTGTAAATTAATTGAACATTTTTCATATTTTAATATTGATATAAGGTTTGATAAGAAAAATTCAAAATATTCTTTTTAAAAATTAAATCAAATCATATAAGTAGGGATGGCTGCAGGCTCCTAAATGTAGGTTTGAGTTTCAAGTCTTACCCACATCCGGGGTTTTCAGCTTGATCTCTACCAATGTTTTAAAATGTCTTAATGAAGATTACAGTTCTAATAAGTATAGATAACAGTTTACAGAACCCTTTACTATATACAGTGTTTGATAAATACTAACAGTTACTTTTTTACGTCCTTGAAAAGAGAACTGAATCAACATTTTATAATTAATCAAGGTTGAAAGTAATTATTGAATTTTCCCAGGAATTTTAATTCTTTTCAAAGAACAGAACAATTTGAGAGAATGGTTCTAATTATCCAATGCTGAAGATAAAACTCCTTAGAAAAACATTTAGTGCGTCTTTTTTTCGAAGGATACGAATTGATAAAGGTGAGCAGAATTACAACTCAAAATTTCAACGAAATCATGAATAGTTTTATAGTTATTATTATTCTTGATGTCATCCTAAAGATTATTTTAATAATCATCCTTTTCAATTTTCCAAGACTTAAAATCATTTAATATCATATATTTTATATATTATATTATATACCTATAATATCCACAGAGTAGGCTGAGAATGGATATTGTATCCCGTTGGTTCAATATCCTGAAGTATAGGGGGATACCATTCATCCTGGATATCTCGATATTTCCAGCATCCTAAATATTCGTTTAAAGAAACTGATCACACTGAACGTTGTACAGTGTACACCCAGTAAACCCCAAAAATGCCCCTAAACAACGTCTAACTGCATCAGAAATAGTGTCCAAAAAATATGCCAAAAAAGTATGAAAATAGCACAGATGCACAATCTACCAATAAATGTCTTTAGTTGAATTCCCGTGGGCACATTTTTTTAAGTTGTCTTTACACAGAATCTTTTATAGCTGTAGAATAAGAAAAGGTAGATTTTTACCGATAAATAGCTCCATATCTACCTGAAGTGCAATATTACAAATCTGACTTATAGTTGCAACAGTCTCAGCAACCTCCTCTCTATCTATCCTCCGGAGTACAACCAGCTGGGTCTCCTTGTCCTCCTAGAAATAAAGGACATTGTCTCCTGAGCTGGAAACTTTAGAATGGTGGATATCGGGATTAATGCTTGATCCACTCTTTTTCTTAATCTCCAGATTAAATATTGCTTGTTTTCCTCACGAATTTAATCTCCAGATTAATTAACAGGTCGGGATTAAGGATATCACATTCTAAAGTTTTCAGCTCTGGTCTCTGATATTTAACATTTCACTGAAGAGACGACTTGAAGGTCGTCTTTGTTTTTTAGTATAATTTGCAGGTTTCATTCACAATATTAAACATTTTTGTTTTATCTAATATATTTTATAAAAGTGTTAATGTTACAATTTTGATTATTTGTCTTGGCCGAATTAAATTTTTGAGTATTAAAAGAACAATTCATTTTTTAAGATTTAAGTTTTTGTTAAATTTTAAGATTATTACCATACATTACTGAGAGCTACGATGAACACGATCAGATTTTCATTAAATGAAATAAAATTGCTAAGTCAAAATTAAAAGAAAAATACCCTACATCTTATCCTTTTCCCAATAAAATTGTGTTTGTACATTAGCACCAGTGGATGTTTTCTCTGAACCGACGAAAATGGTTTATATGTTACAAGATTTTACTTATACAGCTTTGTGTATAGTAAAAAAACTCTTTAATAGAAATAATTTTAACTTGTCTCTAGTTGCAAATGCATCTACTAATTTAATCATTCAAATAAAATTTTAAACTAAAAGATTTGACATATACCTAACAAAAAAATCTTTGTTTTATTATATTACTAGGCTTTTATGGCGCTTCGCACCCATCTTCTTTTTCAAATTTTAATTGTGGCTTTATCTGTGAGCATCTTCTCTTTGTACACTAGCATAAATTTTATTTTTTATTTTGCGAAATTTCATAATATTTTTTCGCGCATTTTCAAAATTTTACAAAATGAAATAATTTAAGATAAAAATATTTTAAGATTACATATTTAAAGTCTCATTGGCCATAAACCTTCCCTGGGGCCACGTGAGGTCCCACACAAAATTTGGGCCTGATCGATTCAGCCGTTTTGACATTATTGGATACAAACAAACAGACAAACAAATAAACAAACAGACAAGCTAAATTTAAATATAGATTATCTTCCTGTTTATTTGCAATCTGAATTATTTCGATTTTTTTCAGAATCAAGTACAAAGGTGGCCCCCCTCCCCCGCAACTGTCCCTACCTTTGGATGAGTTATTACAAGTTTAATTTCACTGATCCGCCCTCCTTCGTCCCAGTGGGCGGAGAACTCCTCGTGAAAGTAGGAGGGGAAATATTTCTCCGTCTGACGGAGAAAGTCCTCCTTCAGGGGGAAGGGTCCCGTAGTGTTCTTATATCCCTAAAATAAAAAATAAAGGATCAAAAGAAACCGAGTTTTTGCAACAAATTCGAATTATTCATCCCTTTGTATTTGCAACCTTATGGTGTAAACTGTAAACCTTGAATAGTTCAAAGGTATAGCTGAAGAGAAAATCAAAGTTTGTGGCAAAAACTCAGTTCCTTTGGACCTCCAAAACATATTTGAGCGGTAAATAAAATAGACTTAATTGTACTCCTATTATGTTATTATTAGATATAATTTTTAATTAGCTTGATATTGCCGACATTGTTAAAATTCAAAAAAAATATTTCTTAATTAAAATTCAAATAAAGAAGAACTATGTTTGTCCTATTTCTGAATACTATTATTAAAAAATATAACAAGATATCTTGGGAAAAAAGTTAAAAGGGCCGTTTTCGGAGCCACCTGTTCTTAAATTTAAAGGTTTTACATTCTTAGATGGTTTTTGAAATTACGCCGACACTCGACAGTCCATTTAGAGTGGGAGTGCAGGGACGCCATGAGCCCCACAAAATGGTCTCCAAGCCTCTGGATTCGTAGATGAGTTTTAAAAATCTTCAGAAACAATAATTAATATCTTAATAATTATGCAATGTATTTTGGATATTTAAGAAAACATTGTAAATATCTAAAGATTTAATATTTTCTTTAAAAAATGTTATTTATTACTTCTATTATATCTATTCTAACGTTAAAGGGAAGCGTCTGGTTTTTTAAATAATTAACTGCCCATACGGAGGCTTGGACCCCATTTTGCGGAGCTCATGGAGGCCCTGCAGCCCCTCCCTTGTCCCTTTAATGACGTCAACTAGTTTAAACTTGAAGTTTAACTTAAGAAGTTTATCCACAAATGTTTCAACTTTACCTTAAGAAGTTTATCCGCGTATGTTTCAACTTTACCTTAAGTAGTTTATCCACCCATGTTTCAACTTTACCTTAAGAAGTTTATCCACGCATGTTTCAACTTTACCTTAAGAAGTTTATCCACACATGTTTCAACTTTACCTTAAGAAGTTTATCCACACATGTTTCAACTTTACCTTAAGAAGTTTATCCACACATGTTTCAACTTTAGCTTGAAGAAGTTTCACCGCCATTATCTTCTCTAGTCCACTCCATAGATCCCGAGGAATGTAACACTAGAAAATGTACAGTAAGAACCAGGATAAGGTGGAATAGGGAGACGACTGTTATACTTTTATTCTTTAATAGTCCAATGAACATGAGACAATAATCCATCAATCTCTCCTCCTGAAGATTAGCAGGCTTCAGCGCGAAGAAAAGATCCAGTTTCTTCTTACTCTTGGGTTCAACTTCAACCTTTGGTTCTTCTTCACTATCCTCATCTTCATTATCCCTGGCTGCCCTAGCTCCTCCTTGCTGCCGGTGCCGGGTCTCAACTAGGCAATCAACCATACAGGCAATCTTACCATTAAACATTCGTCCACTTGTTTATGATTCTCTTGTAAGGCCTCATATTGAATATGGAAACGTTACTTGGGGAGGGGTTAAAAACTACAGCAAAAAAAACAGATCCTTGCAAAAAAGTCAATCAGAGTGGTTAATAATAGTACTTTCAAGGCACATTCAAATCCATTATTTTCAAAACTGAAAGTTCTTAATCTTAATCTTAATACAAACGTGTGTTGATATTTATGCATGGATACTTTAATGATAACCTTCCAAAATATGTTTAAGTCTCTATACCAAATCAACCATGTAATTAGTTGTAGCAAAGACGATGGAAAAAAAAGAAATTCTTCAAGTTTAAGACGACATTACATTAAAGCGTTCTCGAAAGCTAAAAAAACTTTCTTCTAGTTCAAGACGACATTTATTGACGTTCTAGATTGAACCACTTTCTTCATTAATAATATAAAGGGTTACTTTTAAAGAATGAGTCTTCATAAACCCTAGACGAATGAAGGGAATTTACTCAGTCTTGTTTCTTACATTCCTGGTCCCCTTTAGCTTTAAGCTTGTTTCTTACATTCCTGGTATCCTTTATAAACTTTAATCTTGTTTCTTACATTCCGGGTCCCCTTTAGCTTTAAGCTGGTTTCTTACATTCCTGGTCCCCTTTACCTTTAAGCTTGTTTCTAACATTCCTGGTCCCCTTTACCTTTAAGCTTGTTTCTAACATTCCTGGTCCCCTTTACCTTTAAGCTTGTTTCTAACATTACTGGTCCCCTTTAGTTTAAGCTTGTTTCTTACATTCCTGGTCCCCTTTACCTTAAAGCTTGTTTCTTACATTCCTGGTCCCCTTTACCTTTAAGCTTGTTTCTTACATTTCTGGTCCCCTTTACCTTTAAGCTTGTTTCTTACATTTCTGGTCCCTTTTACCTTTAAGCTTGTTTCTAAGATTCCTGGTTCCCTTTAGCTTTAAGCTTGTTTCTTACATTCCTGGTCACCTTTAGCTTTAATCTTGTTTCTTACATTCCTGATCCCCTTTAACTTTAATCTTGTTTCTTACATTCCTGGTCACCATAACAAAATTTAACTTTGAGATCGTCAAATTCAATGAGTATTAGGTCGTCATTTAAATTATGTGTATAACCCTGTACAAGTTCATCCAGCCTTTCCAGGACCTTGAATCCCCCCCCCCCC